TACCACATCCCATACCCATCACACAATGCTCCTAAAGAGTAGTATTATGATCACATTCACATCATTATATTGCAATAAGGTATAGACTTGCCCAAGGTTATATAATTGATCAACTTGTACTTTGACCATGTTATCAGGAAGGACCAGTCCCTGGAGAAGGATATCATGATTGGTAGGTCAGCAAACAAGAGGAGGACCCTCAGTGAGATGGACTGACAGAGTGGCTTCAACAACAGGCTCACCCACACAGCCGTGACTGTGAGGGCTCCGCAGGACTGGGCAGGGCAGAGTTCTGTCGAGCGCAGGGTCACTAAGAGGCAGAAGTGACTCGACCCCTAGCAATAACAGAGAGAACCTGCTGACCAGCTTCAACAACGCTCCATGATCCTTCCACGTTTCCTACTCCTACATAAAAATAACCTACGAAATCTTACCCTAATCAACTAGTCCTAGTGCTAGAACATGGAGTGTTAGTAATGCCGTGGGTAACAGAAAGGTTTGGTAGTTCGAACCCACCAGCCGCTCGGTGGGAGCATGCTGAGGCAGTCTGCCTGTGTAAAGATGACAGCCTAGGAAACCCTGTGGGGCAGTTCTCCTCAGTCCGGCAGGGTCGCTGTGAGTCACAATCAACACGACAGCACCAAACAACAACAGGTGTCACCACACACATAAAATCTTATTTTTACAGAAATCTCCAGACTTTGAAGAACTTCATCATCCTAGCGAGTGAGATGTCCTCAGCATGTGTCCTAATTCCACAGAAGGCCTGCTGTCAGTGAGCATAGACGAGGGAGGACTCCAACATGGGAGTCTTCCATTTGTTTTGGCTTGGTTTTCCCACAAATGGAAGGTGTGTAACAATCCTGCGTCAAACACATCTACTGCCTCCATTTTCCCAACAGCCTGTGCTCATTTCGTGTGTGTGTTCCACTCGGTCCACTCTCACAAAATGACACAATACTCCTGCACACATTATCGACAGCAGAGCGTAAACACAAGTTGGATAAGCACAAGATTACACTATGTTCCTGCACACCTCATCGACAGCAGAGCGTAAACACAGCTCGGAAAAGCACAACCCTCCTGTGGCTCACTTTGTCACGATGGTCTGGGACCCAACCCACAGTGCCCAGAGGGAAGGTCAATGACGGATGAGCGCGTTTCAGGAAGGGAAGAGCGGGCCTCAGGAATAGCCACTGCTAGAATGCACCAGGGAGCACCAAGCGCTCAGTGAAGTCGGGGAAGCACTCACCATCGCTGAGCTCCTGCATGAGGTTGTCCTGGCAGGAGAAATCCAGCTTCACTTTGATGTTGACGGTGAAGGTGGCGGTCTTCCCAGGCTGTAGAGGAAACTGGGCCAGGGTGTCTTCCATCCTCCAGCTCAAGAAGTCACCATATAATTTTTCTATAAAAACAGTGAGGATAAAAAAACAAACAAACCAGTAAGAATGAGGGTAAGGGGATGTCACTGAGAAAGACGTAGCTAACAGTCCCTGGGGCATGCTTGGGCCCTCTCCGGGGAGAAATGAGAAGCATCTCATCAAGTTCCACGGATGCTGTAGAACCAGGAGGTGCTGAGAAGCCACTGGAACGGGACAGAGGGGCCCATGTCTCTCAGAAGCCCCAAGTTCCATGTCAAGCTATCTTGGCTTCTAGTGGGCAGCACTTCTTGCTGACAGAACGAGAGCTGCTTATGCCCTTAAAAAAACTAAATCAGGGTCAACCAAACTCTCCAAAACAAAACAGCTTCTCTACTCCGTCACTTCCTGTGTTACCTAGAGCTCACCTGGGTCACAGACAGATCCAAATTTAGCGGGGTCAAGCTTACACAACTTGAGGGACTGTGGTGGGAAAACAGGGGCACAAACCACTAAGTCCCCGGAGTTTGAAGAGGGAGCAGGGACGCTTCAGTGCAGAATCGCCTCTGTCTGGGTTGGCTGCGGTCCAGACACTCCCCGGCCGACCGCACGTTCTGGAGAGGGGCAATGCTGTGAGGACAGGTTTCTTCCCTGACAAGGAGGAGGTAGAACCAATGACCTCACAGGCTGCTTCACCTGCACCAAACCGAAAAGATTCCCTGAGGGGGGAGGGAGGGCAAGGCTAGTGGCACTGTGGTTAAAGTGCTCTGCTGCTAATAAAGAGACAGAGGTTCAAACCCATGAGCTGCTCCACAGGAAAAAGATGAGGCCATCGGCTCCGGTTACAACCTTGGAAGCCCTACAGGGCAGTCCTGCTCTGCTCTACAAGGCCACTGTGAGCCTGAGTCGATTCGATGGCAGACAACGCACAGCCCCCTGCCACGTCCCCTCCACCAGGAGGCACACCGTAGCTCTCAGCCCAGCTGCCCACTCCATGAACACTTGCTCGTAGCGTCCCTCTTTGTCTTGCTCTCCAGGCCACCTCGTGCCTCTGTGAACCGATTCTCTGTATGAACAAGGAACCCGGTGCTCACAAAGATTAAGGAGCATGTCTGTGGCCGTGCCGCTGTCTCCTTATGGGCCAGCAGCCAGAAACCTGGGTGGCAATCACACGGCACAGACACAGTCACCACGGGGCAGTGCCAGGAGGAAGGGCCTGGCAAGACCGACATCACATGGGCCTTGACGGGTGAGAGACAAGCACGAGGGAGCTGGCACAGCTGCGGCTGGACGTGCGCGTAGACGTGCACACGCTCCCTCGTACATGAATGCGTTTAACTCACACCACACTCAACACTCCTCACACACTGGCCATCTCATCAGCATGATAATCTACGGAAAATAGGAGCCAGCTTGACAAAGTTTATGGAAGAATTCCGTGACCTTTTAATCTCATGTTTCCACCAAGTTTTGAAGGCCCTTGTAGAAGATTCTTGATGTTTGCTGAGAAAAGGACTTGTATTCCTCACTAGAATGTGGCACTAACTGCAGAGAAGTGTGTCCCCCGCCCCAAGAAAGAGGAGCCTTAGGACCCGGGCTCCCTGCGTTAAAAGTCTCCCATACCCAGGGGAAGATGATGCCAAGACACATGGAACTCTCCAGGAACATGGACCCCACAGATGTGGAAGCGTGAAAGGACGTTCCTCCAGGGCCAAGAGACAGCCTTCCCCTAGAGCTGAGGTTCTGAATTCGGACTCCTGGCCTCCTAAACTGTGAGTCCCGGTGTGGTGTTGCAGGATAAGCACTGGACCACAAGGTCGATGTGAACCACAAGTTCAGCAGTTCAAACTCACTAGTCATTCCCTGGAAACCCTATACAGGGTCGTTGTAAGTCGGAATCAACTTGACACTTCACAACAACAACAAACTGTGAGAGGAAAGACTTCTGTTTGTTAAAGACGCCCACGTGTGGTATTTCTGTCCTAGCAGAAGAGAGAACTAAGATGCTAACCTAACCTGCAAAATACTAGTTACGATTCACAAGGTTAGCTGAAGACATTTTACGAGTTTAGATCAGACACTTATAACTTTTCCACGATCAGCAGGACAGGTAGAGGGACAGCTCCGGACAGCTAACTGGGCATCGGACAGGCTGAAGTCCCCAAGATGTAGACGTACCCCTGCCTTGCAGCCGTAGTTCCTGCCACACCCCGGGAGCAGGACAGTTCTCGTGTCACGGCGTGGACAGAGAGGCATGTTACTGGCGGTGAGGATACAACATTTGAGAGGAGAGTTACTGCCCCAGGCATGGGGAAAATGGCAAGTTCTATTCTACATTTTCACCACAATACAAGGGGTTAATTTTTTTAAGGCAGTTCATCTGATGTATGATGCACTTGCTTTGTAAACATCTCTGGCGTGACCCAGAACTGGCAAGTGCTGAACTGCACGAGATAGCCACCATGCTCGTGTGCACTGGGGTGGTCCAAGAAACTCTAATCATTCAGGAATCTGTCTCTCGAGAACACACCCTACTAGACCCAGGGCTGCATCAGGGGAAGGTTCAACCTGGTGGCTGCGACTGATCTTGATCTGACAGTGTGACCCAGTGGACAAAGTGCTGTCGTCACAGGAAGAGTGGGGTCACAGGACTTTCAGAAGAAGGCAAGTGGGCCAAGCTGGGGGATGGGAGGAAGCTGATGTTCAAAGACACAACAACAACCCCATGTGGTCAGAGTACAAAGACCCCAGAAGCACGCCCTGCATCTGGCAAGAGCAGAGACTTAGATCTGATCCACAAGAGTCCCTGGTGGTCAACATGTTCACTAACACATAGGACACACTCAGTAGTAACTGTCTGAAACATTGAAGTAAAGGACAGTCGACAGGGGGGCACAAGCACAGGTAAGTTCACAGAGGAACCGGAGCTGAGAAAGGAGAGCTCAGAGGGCAGCACCTCAGAGCGCCCGTCCTCTGCTCACTCTGCTCACACCCAGCTTTCCCTGAGAGCTCCCCGAGGACAGGGTCCTTACTGCCCGGCTCCCGGAGCACAGCATCCGAACAAGGTGGACACCAGCAAAGTACTTGTGTGAAGAAAAAAGACAAGAAAGTGGGCTGGTAGTACGTCAGGTGACACGTGTGTCTGAATGCTGGGCTAAGAAACCGTGGAGGAGAAAGCTCTGAAAAATGTCCATGCACCCCTACTAGGATGGCCATTCAATAAAGGAGGAGAACAAGTGTAGGTGAGGATGGAGAGATACTGGACCCTGGACCACTGCTGATGGACAGTGAAATGGCACAGCGGCTAGGGCAGACCCTTTGGCAGTTCATCAGAAGTTAAATCTGCCCCCGCAACTCCACTGTGGGGATGCAGAGAAATGGATGGACAGGCATGATCCCAGCAGCATGATTCAGTCGTCAAGAGGTGGAAACCAAAAGGGGCTGGCCCATCAGCTGGAGACGGATGCACAGATGTGGGTAAAACCATACAGTGGAATATTACTGGGTCACAAGTCAGAAGGAAGCTCTAACATATGCTAGGACGCAGACTTTCCACTGCCGTCCAGTTGGTTCCGACCCTGGTTCAGAGACTGAATCTTTATTGGAGCAGAGTTCTCTTTCTCCAGTGGAGCAACAGGGTTTGAACTGCTGATCTTATCCTACAGAGCCATCAGGGTTGAGCCTTGAAAAGATCTTGCTAAGTGACATGAACCAGACAGAAGGGTATTGTAAACAAGTATGACAGCAAAAGAAAGTAGATTACTGGTGACCATGGGCTGGGGAATGAGAACTGGGGAGTTCTTGTCTGATGGGTACACGGCTTCTGTTTAGGTTTACAGTGCCATCGGGTCAGTTCTGACTGACAACGACCTATGTAGAGTTGCCCAAGAGTGGCTGGTGGGTTTGAAACGCCAACGCTGTGGTTAGCAGACCAGTACTGATCCAGAGCACCACCTCAAGGCCCTCAGTGATGGTCACATGATACTGAGTGTGACTGATGTCTCAAGAGTTAAAAGAACGAATGTTCTATTGTGTCACTTTTACCACAATTTAGAAAAGACTGTTTACAAAAGGTTACATGTGAACTGAGGTCTTTGTAAGACGACCATGGTGATGGTGGGGTTGTTCATCAGAAGCGCAGACTACAGAACAGCTACTGCTTACTGACCTGTTTACAGCGATGCCGGCACTGTACTTAACACGTATCATATGTCATGACCCGCGTACCACAAAGTCGCAGTTCAAACCCACCAGCTGCTCCCCGGAAACCCTGTGTACAGGGTCACCATGAGTCAGAACCAACTCAATGGTGCTTAACAACACCACCACCAACCTATATAAAGACCAGCGCTCCCTATTGTAAGTACATTGATTCACACAGGAGGAATTCATGGCTCCCCGTCTTCCAGCTAGGAAAAGGAAAAGCCAGGATTCACATCTACCTTGGTCTGATCCCAAAGGTGGTTTTCTTAACCAGACCTGCTATATTGTTGTGCAGCACTATCAAGTAGGTTCTGACTCATAGCGACCCTGTATAGTTTCTGAGGAGCGGCTGGTGGGTTTGAACTACTGACCTTGAAGTTAGTAATCCAATGCTTATCCTGAAGGACCACACCAGGACTCCTTAACCACAATAAGTAAGTTTAAAATCGAGGCAGACGTGGTCTTGGGGTTCTCCCCCCAGACCAGTGTCAAACTCATAAACCAACTTGAGAGGAGTTGAAGAAAAGACACTCAACTGACGGATAAGAAGACGGAAAGTTACACAAAGAAAGCTGAAAGGGCAGCGTCCCAGAGCCCCCTCTCTCTCTCCACTCTCCACTCTCACTCAGACTGACAGGTGAGGCTGCTGGAACCCCCAGACCATGGTCCTTCATCACCCTTCAGGTCTGGAAATGGCTCAATTTCCAATGAAACAAGAACAGTAAGGAGATGCATACACCTTGGATCTCAACCCTAGGAGATCAACAAGGCAGTATTTACCCAAGGACAAAGTTCACAAGGGCTAGGAGAGACGGAGGAATGGAAACAGGAAGGACGTGGGAAG